TAGGGAAAAGAATTGTTTAAGGATGGATCCAGAGGTTGTAACTTTGACTCATGGGGAAGAAAATTTAATCTTAACAGTGCTTATATCTGCTGTGTATGACAATATTTATAGTTCTAATTCAAATATTTACAGTTTTAATAATGAAACTCCCCTCTTTCTTTTCATTTTTTTTTTCTTTCAACTTTGCTGAGCCAAAAGTTCTTCAGAAATAATCCTGGATTCCTCTTTTCTTTGCATTACCTATTTATATATATTTATTTATTTTTTAGAGAGAGATTTTTGCTATAGGGAGAGATAGAAAGCAAGAAATCACCCCTCCCCCGCCCCAAGGGGAATGACCACGCCCCAATCCCTTCTCCATTCTCCTCTCAGGATTTTGGGCACACACATACATGCACTCAGCTTGAGTTTTAAGTAGCTGTGTCCAGGACTCAAACTATGGTCGACAATGTGGGAGTCCAGTGACATAATCATTATGTCATCTGCTGGCCCCAGTCTATTTTTATTTGTAACAAAATATTCTTTTTGAGGCTAGAAGTGGATGATTTGTAATTTAGGAATTTCTCTCTCAAAATTACAACTAGAACTTAATTTAAAAAATCAAATTGGTTCATCTAATTACATTTGAAACTGTCTTACAAATACATATTTTGTTGTGAATTTTTTTAAAGCAAGGTCTTCTGCTTACTGTCTATGGCAAGACTGGGTTGAGCCCAGCATGAAGGGGACTCCCTAGCTCTTTGTCCAGGAGGACATACTCAGCAATTGCCAAAACTTTCTAAAGAGTAATGTTTTCTAGAGCAGTGCTTCTCAAATATTAATATCCATGAGTCACCCTGGGATCTTGTTAAACTGGAGATTCTGGTTCAGGAGTCTGGAGGGACCTGAAGTGCTGAATTTGGACCACACTGAGCTGCAGCTAGGAGAGAGACATCAGCACCGGAATTCAGGAGACATGAATTTCTATCTTGACTTTAGTCTTTTCACTTCACCTTTCTGCCTCTCAATTTTTAGGTAATAAATGATAACAGCTAACATTTACAATGTTATTTTTAAATGCCAAACACTGTGCTAAACTTGTATTTAATTTGATTCTCACAGTCATCCTTTAAGGTAAGTTTTATTATTAGCCTGAATTTTCAGATGAGAAACCTGAGGTTCTGAGTGGTTACTTGACCTACCCAAGTTCAGAAGCAAGTAAATATCAGAGGTGGGATTCAGATCTCTAAGCTGTCTGACCTCAAAAGTCTACATTCTTATTTTCTTGGGCCTCCCTACTCGTGTTACACATGATCATAGTTACGTTTATAGTCAAAATACAATGACCTGGGCCCACAACCTCTTTAGCTCTCTTCGTGGTGTGTCCCAAGAAGTTAGGCATATTTTCAAAAGGTAGCATCAAGTGCTGACAAACAAATCAGCCAATTCAATCTTCTGGACCTGGTATTCTGTAATATTAGCCCCAGCAGCAGCCAAGAAGATACTTGTAGGTATTTCACTAATGTTGTCTCAGTTAGAGTCCGTCATTAGAATGACAACATCCTCGGCCTCTGGTCTTTGAAAATCCATGAGGTACTAGCTTCACACAGTACTGAAAAGAGTGTGCTACTCCAGTCTGTGCTCACCTTTATGCCCAGAATTTTAGAGTATACCATATAATGAGGCTTCAATTTCAGCAGCTACTATTCTCACAGGGTTTCTAACTCACAGTTGTGTTTATACTCCTGTTCTCCCTCTATACTTTTTTCCTTTTTATTATGAAATAGGAATCATGATACTGCTAGTCCAGTCCAGCGTATAAGCCTGCTAGAGGAACAAGTATCTTACTCCAAGGAAGAAGTCTTTACAAAGATGGGACTCCACCTGCAACATGACCTATGGCAGTGGTTTCCAAGCACAGGTAGATATGAGGAGACTTCATAAAGTTTGTAGAAAAACAGAATTAAAGTATGAGCTTATTTTGATGCAAAATGTTTTGAAGTGCATGCATAGTTGTTTTCAAAAGAGGCATTTTCTATGAACTTGAATTTTTTGAAGATCCCTTGCATAAAGACCAGAGCCTTTTCATGAGAACATTATTATCAATCCAAGCAAATGAGAGAAAAATAAGGTGATTGTTATAAGTTATTTATAAAGTTAATTTATTCAACTTGAAGAACTGCCTTTTAGTTTGAAATTATATCCTGTTATGTGTTTGGAATTATGTATTTTCTCTTATGAAATGATAAAAGATGGTGAAGTATCCCGTGTTGGTACTTTAAAAACCTTTCAAAATGTTATTGGCCTGTGAATTTCAAAAGTCTTGAACATCTGGCATAGAAAGTCTTTTGTGTAATAGTACCAAGTAACTTAAATGATGGATTCATTTTCTCCATTTTATAAAGAATAGGTTGTCATGCACGATACAACACTATTTCATTTGTGTGTGTGTGTGTGTGTGTGTGTGTGTGTGTGTATTATTTTTTTAGACAGGATCTCTCTATATCATGATCCCCCTTCCTCAGCCTCCTAAACAGCTGTGACTACAGGTGCACACCACAATGCTCAGCTTTTTAAGATGGGCTGGAAATCAAACCTGGAGCAGGTGTGGACCAGTCAGTCATGTGGCCTCATTTTGCCAAATGGCAATATCCAGCATGCACCACCATGGCTAGGCCTGTGGTGAAGTATCCCGTGTTGGTACTTTAAAAACCTTTCAAAATGTTATTGGCCTGTGAATTTCAAAAGTCTTGAACATCTGGCATAGAAAGTCTTTTGTGTAATAGTACCAAGTAACTTAAATGATGGATTCATTTTCTCCATTTTATAAAGAATAGGTTGTCATGCACGATACAACACTATTTCATTTGTGTGTGTGTGTGTGTGTGTGTGTGTGTGTGTGTATTATTTTTTTAGACAGGATCTCTCTATATCATGATCCCCCTTCCTCAGCCTCCTAAACAGCTGTGACTACAGGTGCACACCACAATGCTCAGCTTTTTAAGATGGGCTGGAAATCAAACCTGGAGCAGGTGTGGACCAGTCAGTCATGTGGCCTCATTTTGCCAAATGGCAATATCCAGCATGCACCACCATGGCTAGGCCTGTGGCGGACTTCTCTATAGCTTATTTTAGTCTTACCCATTTGTAGGAAGCATATGTTGGCCTGATGGGTGTATTCCTGCCTGAGTAGGTTATATTCCATCTCAGGTATCATAAGGCCTAACTAATGATTGGAGGAGAGATATGGACACTATTATTCAGGTAATAAAATACATTTTGTGCACAGAACAACTTAAAGTTCAAGACTCCTGTATCCCTGGAGCAGAGAATAACATCAGAATTCTTTTCAAAGCCTGGATAATGATAGAAATGAGCATTAAGTGAGGACTATAGTTTCCCAGATGAACTTTC